TGCAGAAGAACTGTTAACTGGTGGTAAAACTCATCATTCATCGCGTCCGGTCTGCAATCTATGGGAACTTTGAGAAGACAGTGAATGACATTGTTTTTCAAAAGGATATCTTCGCACTTCGATGTAATTTTCTAATCTAATGTTAAATTATCGACTGTTAATGGGTATCGAACCGATGAATGATGAATTGTCTCTAGTGCTTGGTACGACATAGTATCCAGTAAAACCAGACGAATATGCCAGTGTTCGCTGACGAACTCTTAACACTCTAATTGTAATAACGCTCCAATTGCTTTGCCTATTCGTGCTTTCACAACTGCATCAGGCTCCTTTTGTTTATCAATCATACTCTCTAGATATGTAAATGTCTCCACCTCTTCCAGAGCTTCCCCATTAAGCGTGATTAGGTTGTTTTCTCTCTGTGTTGTATTTAAAGATCTTGCTTCTCCCGTAATGTAAGTTGAGGCCTGTCGGTGTAGTCAGTTGCTACATTAACTGTCTCCACCTGTATTTGTCGTTGTGCACGGGTAGAAAAACTAGGTCCTAATCGTCTCCAAATCCTCTCTCTTCATCAATTAAAACCAAAGAGAAAAGTGAAACCTTTGTTGCAAGAACTAGATTAAGTTGTCAACAACAATTTAATGTACATACACATTCGTAAATAAGTCTTCAGTTACACTTTTAATATGTTTATAGATGACCGGATCAAGGCATATACCACAGACTTCACCCCGAGAACAGAACAACATCACTGGTGATGTCCAATGTAGTATATCGAACAGAAGTTTGGTTAGTGGTCCTTAAATATGTTGATAATATGTAGTATTGTTTTCGTATAAATGACTCCTAGTTTTTTATCGATTTGTTAAAATCAACCCCTATCCCTTTCTCCTTAAAAGTGGAGCTTATTCGAAACTGGCGGAACGAGTATGTAAGTCTTTTATATTTGTGAACAAATATTAATTACTTCAGTTCCCCACTTGACTAAAGTTCCTGTGTTCATTTACTGGCTTCAAGTTTATTGTCGTATAACTGAGCATTATTACATAACTTCATACTTATGCTCTGACATGGTCATAAATGCTTCGTCAATTAATGTCTCTGTGGCATTGTGACGCTGTCTTTTCCTCAGTTTTCTCTGTTATTCCTACATCCGTTTTATTTTGCATCAATCGGTTCTCAACAAACTAGCTGTTCGTCACTTCAAAGCAAATTTACCCAGCCTCCATATTTCGGGGAAGCCGCTATAGAAAGTTTTGTGAAAATGGCACAAATTCCCGAAAATTTCGCGTTCTTCCCCAGTATTCCTCCAGAATCTTCGGAAACCTGTTTACGTTCTTCGGTCCAATCCCATTTCTTTATCGCATTTTAAAGACATTGTGCGGTATTTCTGGTTACCCCAAATACCGCATTCGGAAATCTGCAAAATTATCGATTACAAAGGAAAGCCTGGCGATTTAATAATAGTTACCTTAAAGTTCCCACACATCTATTCCATTTTCTAATAGTTTACTCCACATAATTAACGCAGTCCCAAATCCATTAAACCACAGGTGGTAACAATTCTTAGTAATCGCTCTTGCATTTTTGGATAAGTACATCAGGTTGATGCTGAACTTCCATTCGGTGTTCTACAAAACTAAGAAAAGTTTCTCTTCAGCATTATAAAAAGTCTCAAAATAGCCGAATTGCTTATAGTAAACAAACAAGTGCCATAGCAGTCATCCAACGTATGAATCTATAATGCTATGTGAAAGGTTGATTATATACTAATGGTATAGCATTAATGTTTTCTGAATAAAAAAAACTTGTCTGCTAACACCTGCGAAGCCAGCCGAAAATAAAATGGACAAGAAATAATTTCAGTTCAAATGTTTACCAGAAACTAACATAAAAACAGAAACCGGTATTTAATCACAGGTCTAAAGTGCATTTAGCCCACCCTTTCTATGGATCTCCATCCACGCCTACTTACTTTATCTCTTGCGTTGTGTAAAAAGACGTGGCTCGCAACATCCATGGCTTGTGTTATTTGGTTCTCTGGATATGTTACACTTTGAAAAAGTGAACACAGAATATCTATAAATATATTAAAACTGATGTGAACTTACTTTAAATCGTCCTGTAGAATATGTAATTGCCGATACCTGTTTTACCTTTAGCCCCAAGTAAGGTACAAGTAATTGCTATTCCCGGCGTCAGCACGTAAGCTATACGTGATCTGGTTGATTTCCTATGATCATCACACATGATCTCCGATAATCTGGCCACTTGAAATTTTATAAACACCTGTCACAACTTATGGACTGGTCATGAAACTTGTGCTCCTCTGAAGCAACTCCGAGTACGCATTCCCTCACGTGTTTTCAGTGGGAATGACAAATTTGAAGTATCTCCTGTCGTTGTGCCTGTCCATCACACCCATGGATGAGCTTATGTACGCAGTCAGTTTGTCAGTCTTGCTAAACATCGCACCAAGTGTGAGGGCAACATTGAAAAAATCAAGGAATATCGTGAGAGTTTACTTTGTTCCCTCTTAAGTATAATTCAAATCACTCCGCATATACTATACTCATATACAGAGTCCACATAGACCTATTTTTGATGAAGTTACCATTTATCCTTTTCATGCAACCAACACTACAATTTAATACTGATTAATAGGATAAGTTTGTCGTATACATTTATATTAAGTAGAGAAAATGCCAATAAAAATACAAATAGTTATGTGAATTAGATGACGTCGACCATAATCCCAGTCGATATTAAGTTCCAAATATAGGCTCAATTAATGTCACTGAAACCACTAATACTTCGACTTCTTTGAATCCCATCACCGCTGAGGAAGTGTCGAGTGCTTTAAGTTCTTTCGATGTCAATGGTTAACATCTTTTACTTCTTTCAATTCCAGAACGTTTCAATGGTGACTCGCATAAGTGCTCAACCATTGCAGAAGACAATATAGTCGGGCGTATTGGTCAATTCACTTGACATACCGGGCGATAGGTGTGTTGAATAGAAATATGAGCAGGCAGGTTAAGTGGTACAGTGATCTGGAGTTCTGTTAGAGGTATAAATGCGGTTGTTACTTCCCGGTTGCCCACATCGTGGAAGGGTTCTTCTAGAGGTACCTGAAAAGGAAATTGGATTAGAGGTAGTCTTAGTGACGTGAGAGCGTGACCGCAGTGTCCAAGGAACAAATGCTCGAGACCGGTTACACACGATCTTTTTGTGCGCATTTTTCGTGTTAGCTCCGTACTTGTTGGGACCTTACCGCCGGAGATGGATATCCGTTGGATAAGGCGAGGTGTGCATTTTTAGAGTCGATCTTTCCTAACCCCATCCTTCCTTGTGGTAACGTAGCATTGCTATTATACTGGTTGTCTGAGGAGAACACCATACTGCCGTCACCTCTCTGTACAGTCAGCAGTACGACTTCGCCCTCGGAACTTGGGTTTGCTGCTTTCAGTCTCACCGCTCCTCAACCGACCCGTCTGGCATTTATTTATTTAAATACATAAACATTGGTATGAGGAGGCACCAAACAAATATGTGCCACATAAATCATTCAATTTGACCTAAAGGTCTAATCCACAAGGCAGTGGAGCAACGTCAGGAGATGCAGTCCCATGATAGCCGGTGACGAACAATTGGTTAATACACCATTGGTTTCCTTAGGACCCTGGAGCCCATGTGCACTAGTGGTTTGTAATCAGGGTCTTTCAACTCCCCTAAGTAAATCCTTCATATCCACTGAACCGGTTAAGGCGCCGGACATTTGCTTTTCGTCCTCTCAATTTCGTAAACAACACCCCCGCCATGAGAAGGCAGTGAGTAAGACTTCTCTGACAGTGGTTTTATGCACGTGGCCACTTGAGAGCATTTTGAGAGGAAGAGCTGTCTCTCCCCACTCTCGGCTGTACGAGGGAATGTTAGGGCCTTGACGAACGATTGTTCCAGCCAGTATAACTCGACCGGTTCAATAAGATGGGCAAGCTCGATCACCACGTCAAGCTAGCAGCAACGTTCGGGGATTAAGTGATTAGCTTAACCATGGAAATTCTAATTGTTGGCTTGAGCCGTTTCGGGGATACTCATTCTCAAATGAGAACTTGTTCAACACATCACTGGTTGTAAACTGGTGGTGGTTCGTAGTCGTTCTTCGCAGCTGTATCACATTAATTCTCCCCTAATTTTTAGACGTAATTTTCAACTTTTTGTCTTTTCTCATATTGTTTTGACTGAGAGTTATGTCTAGGTTTTCATTGGTGTTAATATCAGTCCCTCTTGCTTCTCATCCCATCAATTTTCCCTCAATTTTGCGAGATATCCACTCATCGAAGGGTGCGATTATTGGACAATTCACTATCTATCGCTGTAGTTAGGTATAACTTTCAATGAACATACATGGATTACTAGTGTTTTTAACCCTTTCAGAATTTCGTATGACTAGAAGCCTGGTCATCCTAATTGAATAGTTCTATTAGTGTTCCAAACTAGAGTGCTATTTAGCAACAATGTGCTCCGGTCACCATCCATTAAAATAAAACAAACCATCTGTTTAGAATTCTGTTATTTGACCATGCAAAGAACTTGTGAAATTAAACTTGGGTGTCATGTGTTTCATGTTGACATTTATATAGCGTTTCCCAAGTTCATTAAAATGTAGTCTAGAATGTTATCTAAATAATTACTAACGAATTGTGCTTTGTATGAAGGTGGCCTCTTCATATTTAGCATGAAGCATTCAAGCTGTTGTGTGATCCGATCACTTTTTGTATCAATATGAATCATGATGAATTTAAGTTTAAGATTATACAGTCTTCGACAATAAAAAATTTGAAGTGCTTGTCGTCAGGACTATTTTTCTGCAAAATTGTTAATTGATTAAATTTTAAATGCCGTTAAATGTCAGCAACCAAAAACAGCTTGCATATGATATTTTACTTTTTTAGAAAAGCTCAGCTGTTTTATCAAAGTAGTCGTTGCCTTGGTTGACAATGACGTTTCACACGGGGCGTCTGTTGGTCGGTCGTGAAAAGGAGCAACAGTTTTTGTTTTCGTTAATGTGTAAAGTACGTATGAGCTTTGATTGGATATCGAGGATAATTACAGAAAAACCCTTTATCCACATGCTTTGTTATCACAGGCCCTCCGGGTTGTGGCAAATCAGTTTTAGTGTCCTCAACATTCGAACTTCTGGAAGAGTCTTGTGGAATGTTATGGGTGTTAATTAGCTGCCTAGAAAGCTTTGTGGGGACCCAAGGGACATGTGGAGCTACTTCATCAAGATATTTTCTTGAATTGATTTTACAGTCGATTAAGTGTCGTTATCTGCCCGAAGCTGATTTATGTATTAGCTGTGAAGATACCTCCAGCTTCATAGATAACTTATGTCAAATTTTGCTAGCTATTGGAGCTAGAAATACTCATGACCAAAGTAAGTTTAGATAAACGGTTGTTTTCTATATTTTCAGCTTGTGTGGGGTTAATTTTCGAACAGGCTGAGAGACTGTGTGATGGGGAATCACTAGTCCTCCCCTTAATCATCGGTCTTGGAGCTTCTGTAAATGAAAAGCTAAATCAATTAGGCAGTCTTCACACACCACTGTTGTTCACTGTCCTGGTAACTAGGTTGCCATGGGAGAAGTTTAATTTCGGGACATTCAGTTTTGAACCTTATGTTATCTCTGTTGAAAGTTATTCTCGTGATCAGTTGGCAAGATTACTTACATCTTTGTTACCGTCTAATGCATCTGAATCTCGTTTCAACAGGTTGTCGACTTACTGTTAACAGTTTGCTTCCCTGTTTGTCGTAACGCTGGTGAACTCATTCATTTAATGAATGTAAGTACCTTTAATTTTAACCTTTACAACAATAGATAAACTGGAATGCTTTTAATGAACCTGTAAATAAAGGCTTGGTTGCCGCGGACGATGAATGGGGTCAATGGAAGTTGGCTCAACCATATCTCAAAAAGTCTTTGTCTACTCTGTATTTGCGTCATTATGGGGATTCAAATTTAGATTCTCTGTCTACGAAAAACGCTGGGAGACAAAATTTTTTGGAATTACCTTATTTGACTAGATTTTTACTTATTGCTGCATTTATGGCTTCACATAATCCCCGCTCATCAGACAAAAAGCTCCTGACAAAGGTGATTACAGATTTTACTTTTCGTCGTAGAAAATTTAATTCAAAATGTTTGACGTGTCCTGAATTTCTCCATGTTAAAGCTTTCACCTCTAAACACTCGTCTTTATTAGTACTTCAAAGATTTCCAAACACTTTCATTTACAAATCCTATTTCCTGACCCACATATATACAGCTTTATTCGCTTCCTTTTTTACTATTCTATTTAGAACTCCGGACGTTTAAGTATCCGTAAAAAGAAACAGGAAAAGGAAGTATACAAGGTGAGTTATTATTCTTCGCTAATTCATTACTAACGCCACCAACATTATTGTTGGTTTGCATAAGTGTGATAGTATTTTGAAAAGTAGTTCTCACGATCACTAATGTGTATGTCATGCAGATGGACAGTTTATCAGTCAGTTCACCGTTTATTTATGAGTACATCAAGCACCATCGTTTCTCCGTAGACAGATGTAGAGGTCATAAAAGATATCAACATTAACAAATGCACTCTGACTTCATGGATTGATGATGTCAACCGATGTGGTTATCAATAATATTTGAACGATTATCCAATCAATTTTTTTACAATCACAAATGAATATTGATATTTTAATCTCCATGTTAACCTAGTCGTAAAGATTTAAATTCACTAAACGATACTCCAAGTTACTTTGATCTGTGCTGCGAAATGTATTGGAGCTCTCAATGTACAAACCTTATCAAACTAGGCAAGACCTTTGGTTACATAAGCGCTATGAACTCGCATAAGTTACAATACAGTCGTGCATGATGGACAGCTTACAAACCCATTCCACGTGGAAACTGATGTTAGAGAGAGCTGCTTACTATCACCACCTGTTTTTGCTGTTCGACTGGAATATGAAAGCCTCCACATCTGGGGAAAATCACGGAATAAAATGGACGGCTTGTGTGCAGCTAGACGACTCCACATATGACCAAGCTGTTCTATCCCATGCACAACGACAAATACAGGTGGAGACAGTTAGTGTAGCAACTGACTACACCGACAGGCCTCAACTTATATAACGGGAGAAGCAAGATCTTTAAATACAACACAGAGAGAAAACAACCTAATCACGCTTAATGGGGAAGCTCTGGAAGAGGTGGAGACATTTACATATCTAGAGAGTATGATTGATAAACAAAAGGAGCCTGATGCAGTTGTGAAAGCACGAATAGGCAAAGCAATGGGAACATTCCTACAACTAAAGAGTATATGGAACTCAAAACAACCATGCGCCAACACGAAAGTCAGAATCTTCTATACAACCATCAAAACAGCACCATTGTACGGAGAACTACAAACATCATCTAAAAGGTATAGGTAGTTATGAACAGTAATTTGCACAAGATACTCCAGATCCGTTGACCAGACATCAGCAATAACCTACAGTGTTAGAGAACAGATCAACCTCCGGTCGATGAGGAAATCAAGAAAAGTCATTAGAGGTGTATAGGATGCACATTGCGAAAATCATCACGAGACAAGACATAACTTGAAATCCTCATTGCAAAAAGAATAGACGAAGGCCAAAAAACCCATTGTGGCGGTGATTGGAGGCAGGCATCAGAAGAGTGAATAGCACTTGGGAACAACTGGAAAGAAGTGTATAGGACACAGTAAGTTGGAGATGTATGGTCGGTGTGCTGCGCTTTACGAGGGGCTACAGGCATAAGTAAGTATTTACGTCATTATTTTCATCCCAAGCCCCCTCCCACGAAATAAAAATTCAATCATTATCTACAAAACGACTCGTTAATTGTTAAACATTTTCATTCGACTAATGATAAGTGGACACACTAATATTATTATTACTGCATTTGACTTGATTTTTAACGTGTCACATTTATCTATAAAATGACCATCATTGTCATGTAGAAAGTTTAAAGATATGTTGCTTTGTATTTCTTAGACACAAGCAGAGTTTACTGGCCCTCGAATCTTCACCCTAGATCGCTTGTTGGCAATATTCTATGTCCTAGTACAAAATGAATTTGCAAAAGTACCATGCACAAGTATTTTAATGAGTCAAATTGCCTGTTTAACAGCATGTGGTCTTTTATCGCCAAGTTCACAGGCTTTGTCTGTTGGGAATTCATCTACTACTGGATTGAGTACAACAAATAGTTCGGTTAACGCTATATCTGATTTAGACCCTTTGGCTAGCCCTAAATATCGTTGCTTGATAAGTTTAGAAATTGCTAAAAGTATAGCACAGTCGGTTGACTTTGATTTGTTATCTCATCTTACAGAGAATTATAAATTGTAAAAAATATACATCTACTGATTTATTTATTTTTGTATCGATATTCTTTGTATTTTTGTGTTTGTATATATTATCCTCATAGTTTGCAGATAATTTGACTTATGTTCTATAAATTATTTAACTTTATGATAACATTTGTTCCTAATTTACTTGATCTAATGTAAGCAATTCAGTTTCTACAGATGGGACTAGTAGTAGTAACCCAAGGAATTATTTTTTTGTCATCCAGTTTATGATTGAAATTTTTTTACCCAGTCTATATTACTGGTGGTGATATGTTTAACATGAATTTTTTCGATGTAAGTTTACTGACCCGGAGTCAATCAAAGTGATAACTAAATCCTACTAGAAAAATTTAAGGTTAACAGTAAATGAATTGACTTTTCGTTATACACAATAGCTCTCAATGACACTAGTTCTTAAAGCCACATATATACCTAAAGGCAAGTACTTACGATTTCTGATAGGCATATATAATAGTACTAAGTCTATGAATAAATATATTTTTCTAATGCTATTCTAATCGCGTGAAATACAATAACGTTACTTCAAAGTCTTCCTGTGGAGTAGATAAAATTCTTTGTTCAGTTTCACTGGGAATCGCACAAGTAACTCCAGCTGATTATGCATTCGAACAGAGTCTATAAATATTTGTTTTGCGCATTGCTACAGCTCTGATAAGGTGAAACTTTCAGCAGTGGCGATTGACTGAGGGATTACACGAACTACCGAAAAACAAGCCAACATTCCAGTCACTTAATATAGAGGTACAGGAAAACTCGTTTTCAATGTACCTCCTTTCAGTTATGAATTCTGTGAGGAATATTTTGTTGCTAACCTGCCCAAAACAACTTGATAGATTACCTCAAGGTACCATCTTATTGCCCGTTTGATCAAGCCGTCAAGATAATCAAATTCAGTGGTTATATTTCCATTATGGATAGTAATTACTACGCAAAATTTGGTTCGGGATAAAAGCTTATCGAAAAAGTAGAATTGTAAATACGAAAACAGTATGGTTGACAGAATTTATCTCTAAGGTTCTACCGGTGTTTTTTCATGAGTAGTCTAATAATAGAAACATCAAGATCTGTTTCGTCTTTAGTATTTGTTATAACGCAACAGACAATAAAAGTGGGAATTAACTTTTCAAGTTATTACTATCATTATTTTGTCCCCAGTCTATTGTTTAGTCTTTTATTTACAGTACTTTCTGGCTTGTTTGTGTATAATTGCTATTTTTGTATAATGTGATGCGGTCCGGTATGCCTGGATATAAGTCGTCTTTTTGAAATATAAATATAGTAAAGGCTGATTGATTTTTCTGAACTCAAGACAGGATCTGAAGAGGAGCTTGCGAGAAGCAGATCAGTCGGAGCTTAGCTTTTGACTCAAGGTCAGTCGTGGTGATCCGGGATGTAACTGGCAAATCAAATACATTAAGGTATAAAGTAAATAATAGACGCGAAGTAGACTAAAATAGAATCAGAATTCTGATTGGTGACTTGGCACGTGGTATTTGTCAACGGCCACATGACAACAGTAACCGTTTCTGATTCGTTGACCTCAAAACCAGTTTACGTCTAGTACATCAATCCTAAAAGAATCCTGTCATAGTTTTGTTGGGTTGATCTAGCTATAGCAGGAACCAAATCTTGAATAATTATGCTTTTCCTAGCACTGGCATGAAATTGTTAATAGAAGCAACGTTAGTGAGCTAATAATCTTTTGATCATTCGAATCAGTGAGGCAAGCAACTTCCTGTTATAACCTGTGTTAATGTTTCGATATTTTAATGGAAATTAGTATGCCTATTACAGATCAAATGAAGGGATATTAATAGTATTTGTTGGTTGAAGTCGTTCGAACTGGAAGACGCACTTCGTCACGGTGACGGCTAAGGCGTTCCCAACGCCTGTGTTTTTATTGTGATAGTTTGTCCCACTAGACGAGAGCTTCACGGAGCATTGACCTATTGCCTAAGACGCTCGACTTTCGTTTGCTAAGCCCCAGGTCTAATCATCTCTGAATAGTATCATTATCCCTGGCACTTACAATGTGGTTCGCACATAAATACTTCGTGAATAAATTAGTTGAAAGTTTTCTTAACGTTAACTTGGGGCTCACAATAATTACTTCGAACTGAATAAACTCTTACCGTTAAGTATTTAAGTGATATCGATAGCAATATAAAGTTCTAGGTTTCATACCTATTTCCCTAGCGTACGTGTATCCATGACTTAATTCACTACTAAAATCAATTTTGTTGAAATCCAGGTGCAGTGTGACCACCCATTTGAGAATAAAAGAGCTGTTTTATGTGCATGATTCGATTTTTCAGTTTATTCTCAACTTTCACATGTATCTCATTGAAGTTGAATGTAACATCAAATGATACTGTAAATTTTTGTCCTGACTTTTTCAAAGATGTTCTTTGTCATTTTTTCATGTACTTGGTTGGAGCATTGCATCTACTTCTTCAGCAGTTGATGAGAGAACAAACTCATACTGCTCCTAAAATAAAACAAGTAGGAAGTATTGTGATCAAATAAAAGCTCCTAATCATACTTAAGTAGTAAAATAATCGTTCTCCATACGATCAAGTTAGCACATTTATATGCTTGTCCCACACAACATTCAGGTTATATAATTCAAACTGAATCATAAAACATTTCATTCATAATAATATAGGGACGACTTAGTTTAAATCAAGTCGCGGTCTGATTTCTAGTTTGCAGTGTCATGAATGCATGAAACGGCTTTCTTCACCCTGTATATTGAATCTGTAGGCTGTTCGGGCAGTTAAATTTCGTAATATCAATCATTCGTGGAAATCAAAGGGTTTCTATATCAAAAAATAATCTGTTCCAGGGTTTGTCATCAACTAGTAAGCAAGTAAGATTTCCACTGTGCATAAGAAGGTAATAAAAAATCTACATTAATATGGAAATCATACTACTAAAAGATACAAGTAGTTGGATGCAACGCATACTGGTCCTAAGGTTTCGATAAAAAATCAGATCATAGACTGTTAACATTCTTGATTGTTCCATGTCGTAAGGATAAGTTATCTTGCCTTCACATAAGTATAATTCTCGACATCGGCTGTACATCATAAAAGTATAGTAACAATTTTAGATGGATAACCAAACGGTTGCACTAGTTCATTCAAGAGAATTATCATGATCTGAGAAGGTATACTCGATCTCGATATGATTAACTGTTTCAGGTACGTTCCTTCTGGGATACTTGCTTACAAACAATAGAAACAGCCGTATAGTTTCCTGTTCATTGACTAACGATAGAACTAGCTCGTCACCTAAAATTGCATGTTTGTTAAAATAAAAAACGATAACTTCAACAGAAAGGAGCTTTTTGTACTCAAAATAGCCAATAAAAACTACAGATCCATGCACGCACCATCTAACTAAATCTATATCACCTAAATGGTAATATCTCATTTTTTCATATTCTTAGAATCTAAAACCTAAGAATTGGGATGAACAAGAACTGAATCTGACAATATTTAGTCCCTTTTCTTTTACAAAAAATAAGAAACTTACCAATGTTTTAATCATATCTGGCCTTTGATCTCTTAGATGTTCCAATGAAGCAGCTATGTCAATTTCTTTAACACCTTTAGTGATACGATTTAGGACCAAATCTAATAAAATATATGCACCTGTTCGTCCGCATCCATCGCTAAGAATATAATTAATAGAAATTCCATCTGTAAGCCAGCAGGAATTGTAAATTTATTTTGTTTAAACATGAATGATGCGTAACTCTTATACGAGGTATCCTAGACAAACCGTCTGCGTCCTGTCATTCATCATAATGAACAATAGAAGCCAAAACAACTAGAGGTGGCTCAGTATTCAATTCGTTTGACTTCCAGTCATTAGTTTACTAAATCGATTCCTTTGCACCTCCTTTAGGCAACTGGTTGGTATCGCTACCTTTTATACTTGAATTGTGGCTTGAAGCCAAGTATACTGAAAACTGAGTTGGATTGAGTGAAAGAAATTTTTCTTTTTCCGGTTGTTAGTCTCAAAGCTTTAAAAGCAACGTAGAGATAAGAAATTGCATGTTATTGATTGTGATTAGTCCAAATAGTCAATCCATTCATTCTTCACCTTTGACTATTGAACATTTGTACGTTATTATTTCTTTTTCCCTATTAATGTTGTTTTTCATGTTATTCCTATACCTTTTATTTATTATGTTCCATCTTTTCTCCTGTGTTGCAAAAGGTAGTGGTTTTTAGTCAACATACTACAGTACTTCGTGCGGTCGAATCCAGAAAACAGTTATTCACAATTAACCCTAGTAACGTAAGAAACTAAATTACGGTAAGAACTCTGTTATGATGGAAAGTCTTCGACGTCTGATCTGATACACCGTGCTACGCGCAGCCAACCACTGAATTAGAACATAAGATTGAAAGAAAGTCTATTGGGCTACCGAGTACATATGTAAATACTCACTTATATTTAAAGCAATTAGTTCCGTTGATAAATTTCGATAATGCAGTAAAAAGACGAAGATTATGAAAACTATGTGATGTATTAGCGCAATACATTCCGAACAATTTGAGCACACATATACTTGTTAAGTGAAGTAGTCAAACGCGTCGACAACTACACTTTTCTTGGAATTCTAATCAGCCCTAATGGGTTGGTGTCTGACGAAATCTCAGCACGGATTCGGAAAGCTTTTTTGCCAACTTGCGTCACCTATGGTGAAAGCGAGATATTCGTCTATCAATTAAAGGACGAGTATACAGTGCGGCAGTTCATTCTGTTCTACTTTACGGCTGCGAAACGTGGGCATTAAGAGTAAAGATATTTGTAAGCTACTAGTATTTGACCACAGATGCCTTAGAAATATTGCTCGCATCTGCTGGGATTACCGGGTAAGTAATAGTTTTCAATCTTCACTGATTGAGATGGTTGGGCCATGTGTTGTGTATGCCTGAACACCGATTACCACGACGCGCAATG